AGTATGGGTCCATCGAGTTCATCTTATACACTACAAGTGAGTTTCCACAATGTAGAGGCATAGAAGTACCCTAGTATATTTTCTAAGCCATGAATACAATTGTATAACACATCTTATATGTTTTTTTTTCTAAGCCATGAATACAATTGTAAGAGTGATATGATCAACCAGATCGATGCTATCTTGGAATAAAATATTTGTTTTTATTATGTTATTTTTGGTACCCTAGTATATTTTCCCCTTTGTATTCTTGTACCAATGCCATGTGCCCTGATTGTTAAAAACCATAGAGAGAATCTTGAAATCAAAAACGAGGTCGTGCGTTGGATGAATTAATAAATTTTGAACTTTAAAACAGTTTGAACTAAATTTGAATCGTTTAAAACTGATATATGCATAATGCATCTTACTTATCACCACCACTCATAAGAAAATGATTGTAGTCGAAACCTTATACTGTTATACATATGAATCATTTAGTCGTTTGGACAAAAAGAAAGAGATGAGATGATGATGACAATGACATGGTCCACTCATTATAAAAGAAGGAGCCATACGAATAAAAGCGTTTTGACAAAAGTAATGAATGAGTGAGAATAGCCATGTAACATGTGATTTCATTGATATCTTTGCAGTTTTTTGTCCATAAGAATAATTTGATGAACAATTTCCCCTATTATCTACATCTGAACATCAAAAGTATTGAGAAGAAAACTAAAGATAAAACTGAATTAATTATTATAGGAATAATATCCACTAGTGTTTTCAACAAAATACGAAGAATGATTCTCATAAAAGTGTTTTCACTCCATTGAGAATCGAACTCGTTTGTATATATCTCTACGTTGTTTTCTTGGATTTCATCAGGAAGGATATGCAAGAATCATGTTTCTTGTGAGACATGGTGAGTCCTTCCAAACCCTAGCGTGCAACTTAAGCAACTCCTTTGCCTTCTCTTTAGTCTTACTCGCACCGTTAACTTGAAGCACAAGACAAAGTTTCGCCACAACCCCTAACTGTAACATCTCGTGAAGCAAAGCCGGCGTCGCGCAGAACCTTCCCACCGATAACAAAACCCTAACCGCTCTATCGCTTGCCGTCTGCGAAATCCTCAGTATCTTCTTGCACACCACAGCTATGGCTGCTCCGTGGTTCAAGAACTCGGCTCGTCCCTCCGCACACTGACACAACAGATCAAGAACCACCATCGCCATCTCTGGACCTCTCTTTTCTGTTGAGAAGCTCTCGTCCATGAGAAGCTCGATTATCACAGAGATCGTTCCAGCTTCCACGGCCTTGTGTCTGTTCCTTCCCCAAGGACATATGTTCACCAATATATGCATCGCGGCTGTCGTTGCCTTGCGCGATATCCGGTCGTCCAAGATCTGGACGACCTCAGTGAAAACCGCTGGTTTCAGCGTCATAATCTGCATTGGATCTGCTACTTCAAGAATGTTCTTGAGAAGCAAAGTTGCATATGCTCTTGACTCGTACACCCCTCGCTGCATGATATTCGTCAACGACTTGACGACGTCGTTACCGTTCTTGTTGTTTAAGAGATTCTTGAGGACTGTCTCTGAGGTCTCGAGATGGTAGAGTAAGCTAAGGGCTTCGTCGGTCAAACTCCTCGAAGAGTCAAATCCTTTTTCTGAGTCGTTGTTGCTTACGATGGTGGCCAAGAACTCCGGAACTCCCGCCGCTTCCAAACACCGTTTGTTGGTCGCGTTCTCCGAGACAATCTGACGAAGTCGTTTGAGACACTTGACCTGGATTTGATGCGAAGAGGCAGAATCTTTGATGAGTTTTTCGATCTCAGATTTACAGATCGGAGGTCTCGGGGTGGGGATCCTCTCTACGCCGTAGGATGCGTTTAAGGTGCACCAAGATTGGATAAGACGGCGTAGAGTGTGGTTCGGTGTGAGATCTGCGTCGGTTATGTCTTGTTTGGTGACCGGACACGAGTTCTTCTTGCCGGAAAAGAGCCATTTCTCGATGCTGTCTCTGTCATAAGTTATTCCGCTAGAGACTATCACCGGATCTTTCATGATCTCTAGAGAGATGGGGCAAAGGAAAAACGGAGGAATCTCGATCTCTTCATCCATTTATTCCTCCGGAGAAAATAATGAAGAGGTTGTGAGTTTTGAGGAGAACGCAGATAAATATATTTGATCAAAGAAGCCTGAGGAAACAAAACGAATATTTCTATATTTTTCTTCTTGCCTACAAAGGTGTAGTAGTTGGACTTGGGAAGATGTGATATTGGTTTGAATAAGTTAGGAAGAAGAGAGAGAGGAGGTTGGGGGGTTTATATATAAAGCAAATGGCAGAAATTCACAAAATTATTATAAAGTCAAACACGGAAAATACAAACATCATACTCTTCTGCAAAGCTGTCCCTATATATGCCAAAACAAGAAAAAAACCTGCCCCTAGTTAAGTTTATTAGTATTATTTTCTTATGGAACGAACGAGGAACATAGATTTGACTTTTTGTTTCGCTTTCTTTGAGTTGGGTGGTGTACGAAAAAGAAAAAGGGTTAAAAAAACACGTGAGACGTATTATTAAGAGGTTTGACTTTTCAAAGGAAAATTGTAACTAAGCGGATAAGAAAATGCTGATATTGGGTTGTGGCGGTGGTGAAAAGAAAGAGTGTACTTTGTGTCTTTTTATTTTGTTAAACTCACATGCCATAATGGATTGGTTCTTCCTCACTTTTTACACATTTTTGCCATCCCTTTTGACCTTTGATTTATATTTGTTGTGTCGTAGCCAAGTGTACAGTGACTGCCTTCGGTGGGCTTGTACTTGGACATACCTAGAAGGCTAGACCTAACTTGCTTTGGAAGATTTGTTGGTTATGGCGTAGATATAGTTTGCTTGCAAGCTGCAAGATATAGAGTAGTCCGTAACATAATTCTTTTTAACACAATTTAGAGTTTTCTTTTTCAGGAAAACTATTTTAATCCTGTTTCAACTTTATTTCCTTTGTAGATATAAAATGGCCATTTGGAAGATGACTTGGCTCTTTACTGCCTTTGGCGGGCTTGTACTTGGACATACGTAGAAGGCTAGACTTAACTTGCTTTGGGAAATTGTTGGTTATGGTTTGCCTGCAAGCTGCAAGATATATATATATATATATATATTATAGTACGTAGTCCGTAATATATTTCTTTTTAACACACTTTTAGAGTCTTCTTCTTCTGGAAAACTATTTTTAACTTTATTTTTCCTTTTTATATACAAAATGGCCATTTGGTAGATGACTTGGCTGATTGGCTCTTATATTGAACAAACACAGATGTGGTTTTTGATACAAGAGGAGGACCAATAGTGGAATACCAAGTCAGACTGATGAATGTGCTCTGCATTTTACAACCGGAACAAATTTTCGTTAATAAATATATGCATTATTAGTTTATTACAGAAACGAAAGTAATTTTTAAATTATTTATCTTCTTAACAACTCCTCTTTAGTTTTGCAAGACATGTGTGGGTGACCCAAGTTTTAACTTCATCATCGTGTTTAACGTGGTTAATATAAGTTATGGCCTGTATATGGGTAACCTTTTACTTCTAATTAAGAATGTTGTTTTCCTTTGATTGTTTCTTCTTTTGTTGTTACCGACAAAACCTAAGTAAGTGTCACTAACGGCCCGTTGGACCCATGCAAACTTGGAATTTAATTATATAGTTATTTTAATTTCAACTCTTTTCTACGCTCTTCTACAATATTTTGAATGTTGACATTTTCATATATAAGGTCGTTTATCGTGTTATTTCATACTTACTTACTTTGAAAATTCTGTGACGTGGATCGTGATATAATTGGAAATGGCAAGCTATCTAGAAGTCAAAGTCTAATAAAATGGACAGTGTTTGATTTTTATGAGATAAACTAGAATTCAACCCGCGCTATGCCGCGGTGGTATTTTTTTTCTTACTCTTTTTTATTAAGAATATTATTTGTTTTGATCATTATTAAAATTAAGAGTCGTTAAGAATATATGAAAAGTAAAATTAAATTTATCTTTTTTATTGTAGTATAATTTGAAAACGGTTATTTTTTGTTTACAAATCATTGTTACTAATTTTTTTTAGTATGGAAATATTGGAAAAAAGATTAACTTCAAAATATGTTTATTCCATCAAATCTAAATTAACTTTTCTGAACGTCATTTGAATACACATCTACTTATATATAGCAATTTATTTGCTAAATGCCTGAATCTTTTTTACAGATTTTCAAGTGTACTTTGATATCTTCTTTTTGCTTGAATTTATTGTTACAATGATAAATTTCCGCAGCGGTTTTTTTAATATTATTTGTTTGTATTTTTATAATTTTATACTTGTTTTTCTTGACTTATAATTTGATATTTTTACAAATTATTCATTACGAGATCAATTTATATAAAATTATATTTTTTAGTTGGTTGGCCCTCTAGGTCAAATAAAACATAACAAAAATTATAAAATTGACAAAAGAAACCCTATACTCTTTTGTTTTTCATTCTTTCACACTTCCGCTCAGTTTTCTTCTTCACTTGTCACTAAAATTCAATTTGATTAGGATTTTTTTTTCTTGTAGAGTTTTGTTTTTATTAAATAATTTTTACAATGTACATATTTGATTTTCCTACTTTTTTGTGATCTTTGAAAAATATTTTATTGTGGACTGTGTAAGTTAGCTAAATCACTCGTTAGAGTTCTACATTTTCTAATTTTAGTCTCGTATTTGGAGATGCAATACCAGAATAAGCACTATACAGCCAATACCAATAAACGCATGGATTAATCCAATAGCCTTTGGTAAGAGTTGTTTCATTGGTCTCTCTTTTAATTTCATAAACCAAAACTTGAAAAGAAAGAAAAGTCTTGACAAACCAAAACCCTTTAGTTGTTGTTCTTGTTTCAACTCATATTCTTCATGCTGCTATTACATTCATTCATGTATGATCAATTGCAAAAGAGAATATATGCCTTGCCATAACAAAATTCAAGGTTTAAATTCATTGGTTAGATCGGTGAAGATCTCATCGAAAAGCTCATGATTCTCTTTCTTCTGCAAATCAGATGTAGAATCTTGTCCTTCCTGCAGATCATATTCGAGGTCAGTGAGGCTGATTCCATCCTGAATCACTTCTTCGTCCAATGCTCTATGTGCCTTCTGCATTTGTAGCTGGCCAACAAAAACATTCTCTTGTTGGATGACTCCTTCGGACTCAATGGAACTTCATGATGACCAACACTCTCCAAAAGCTGAATATGTCGCTCTTTGAATTCATATTCAACTGCTTAAGCCCAAAGTTGGTTAATCAAGTAAATACCATCATAAACCAAGAAAGGGACTTAAAAGCAAGGGGAAGATTCACGTAATTAATACCAACTCAAAGACTACCTATTACAGAGCAGAAATGGTATCTTAAGTAAACCTATAAACAAATGCATAAATAACTTCCACCATAATTTGAGATCTGAGAGGCTTACCAAAAGGAGCAAAATCGGTAACAGGTTGAGTGAACCATTTTTCTAGCTCCTCCTCCATACAAACCAATTATGGCTTCTCTTTCTCGCTACCTTCTGAAATCTTCTTTGTCTCTGTTGATCGAAATCATTAGGTCAACATTGAGGAAATATCTCATGTAGAGGTGAAGTGGAACTTTTCATCTCTGAACTAAGCTAACTGATTGAAAACAATTGGAGAAGCAAAAAGCACCAACACCAAACATACAAAAGGGATCTCAAAAACCTTACCCGTTAACTGATCTGGACATAGCAGATCCGAAATTAAGATCGACGAACCAAGAGAAGCAGAGAACCCGCGTCACTATTACGATTGTCAAGAGCCATCTCCGAGCAACGGATCGAAATCAGTAACACATGACCAGGAGCTCCGTGAAATTGAAAAAAAAATCGAGAAAGAGAGAGAGAAGCGTTATTTCGAAATTCCAATGGATGGTGGACTCCGAAGAACGAAAAGGGGAATTGTTCGAGAATGAAAGGGAGAATGAAATGGAGTTTCATGTTTCGTTTTCGAAGAAGAACAAACAATTTCGCCAAGAAAGAAAGAATGAAATCGAAATTGTACAAAGAAAACGAAATTAAAATTAACCAAACCGGAATGAAAACGTGGCAAGTAAACCGGATATTTGATGACTGGTATTATTTAGAATGTTTTGATTGGCCAAATGATATGTCACCTTTTCCCTGCTTGAAAAAGCTGATGTGTCAACTCTTGGAGTAACACAATGAGTGTTATTGTGTTGATTCATATGTACATCGATGATCGATCACGTTAAATAATGTCGTATTATTGATGAGTTTCTGACAGGGATTTACACATGATTTAGAAAAAGTGGTACGATTAAATGAGAAAATCATATAAAACAATTACTCGACGACTCTCAGTCAAAATTTCAAATCCAACTCTCAACACAAATTTCAATGTCTACTTCGTAATTAATATATTTGACGTTAGGATATTGAAAAAAGGTCTCTCGTACGTAGTAGTAAATCGTTTTTCTTTTAAAGATAAAGATCATAAGATGAATCATATTGGGATGAAATTCTATAAAGCAATAATCAGCTAAGTAGAAGATAAGTCAAACACCTATAGGTGGCCAAAACGTATCATATTAGGGCTGAATTCAAATCAGTAGTGTGGAGTTCAACAATTTATGCCACCACGCAAAAATAACACGGTTTAAAAGATAAATAGTTACCACTTACCAGTTACCACTATATATGTGCATGAATGTGCTGTGCATGCCTGTCTGCAACTTCCTTCGAATAACAAAATATAATATTCTATATATTCATTCAAACTAGATCACTAGTTTATTTGTCCACACTCTTCTAGCAATTTTAAATAAGATAATCTTACTTTACGACTAACGATTGCATTTGCGCGCTAGGTACAATGCATCTGAAGATCTTCTTTTCGTTTTGGCCAGCTTATACCTCCCTTTCTTCATCTGAAGATCTTCTAGCCAATTTTATTAGTTAAAAAAAAAAGAGTCCTGTTACAAAGTGTTTCGAGATATTCAGGAAATGTCACCAAGTCTTTCATGCCCGTACGTATATACATATATGTGTTTGTGTGTGTGTGTGTGTGTAATGTATATATGAGATCAGCATAAATCGAAAATATGTAGATACTTAAGCTGATATGGCATGAAATGAAATGATCGTAGGACGCAACATCGTAGGGGATTAACCAATCCGTTTATCTGTATTCTGTAAATAAACACCATGATTAATCTAATTCAGGTATGAATAATCAAAGCAATCCGAATACAGCTGATTTGTTCGGTGCAGTTTGTAAGCAGGATGCAAGGCTTTTAAAAGTTCAAAAAAAAAAAAAAAAATCTGATTAAAAAAGGAAAGTCGTTGTATATACTATATGTAAAATTGGGCCTAATGGAAGTGGTGATGTTGGAGTAATGGTTGTGCTGACCTAATAGCTTAACATTATTGTGTGTTTTTTCTTCTTAATGGGTCGGTTGAGATATTCTCTGTATTTGTACTTTTGTATGCATCGGACATCATGAATTGGGCTCATTGATAATCACAATCAATTTCATGTGCTTCACTTTAGTTTTCATTGTTTATTTCTTACAGATTCAAATATATCTGTAGCCTGTAGGAAAGGTCTTTACTCTTTAGCATTGGCCCTAAGATATATTTTGTAGATCTCTCACAAACCTCTGTAGGCCATAGCTTCAGCTTCCATATACATTATAGATTCTCCTAATGTTTTTTTGTTTTTGTTAAAGGGCTGATTCTCCTAATGCAAGTTTATCTCAGCAGCTATTCCACTTTTGTATGACTTCAATGCACGAAATTTTCTAAAAGTTTTATCTTAGATATGATACTCGTTTTAGAATCGGAATCAATCTTGGAAGTTGTCATGATCGCGGTGGAAGCAAGTTTCTGGAAAGAAAAAGTTTGCGCATACACAAGATTCTTGAGAGAAAGAAAGAAAAAGATTATATTATTGAAGCACGGCACGAACATGTTGTTCTGATTTTGAAAATATGGATACATTAACAAAATTATTTGAACATATTTATATACTCTAAAAAGGAAAAATTATAAGAAGATTGATATTTTCTTTACTAAATGCGAGGTAGAAATTTATTTTCCAAGTTTTTCTGAGAATGTTTTGTCTGTTGAAATTAGGAAAAATGAAAATGAAAATGATGTCTCTATTCTTTGAATTTGATCATATTGGTATTTGTACTTTATAAAAAAAAAATCATATTGGTATTTGTATTTACTTATTTTCATGTGAACTACTTCAAGTGTAGGCATGTGAATTTGATAGCTTAGAACAATATATTGAATTATATGTGTATAATTCTACTTCAATATGCCTCCAACACATGGCCACTTCTGAAACAAAAATCATAAGATATATTTCCGAGTTTCGAACCGCTTAGCTTTTGCATACATATACACAATGCTTAGATTTTAATCTGTAACCATCATAGTATATTTGAGTAACTAGTTCACTGTCTTATTATTACAATGAAACAAAGGTAAAAATATATTTTGGTATACATCCAAAAGCAAGCTATTACACGTAACTAATCCATATACATATATAATCCTATCCATCCCCCAATGAAAATGAAAAAAGAAAAGAAATTACAAAAATCGATATACAACCGTCGGCCATATATAACCAAAGACTAAAATTAAATTTTGTTCTTTGTTTTGGTTCAATGGTATAAGAAAAACTATATACTAATTTAAATACTAAAAACGTAATATAACCTTTTTTGGTTGCTCCTGGGTTTAAGCAACGAAGTCAGGCAATAACTGAGCCACATATCTCTTCTGGTTCTGTATGTTCATCCCATTGTAAGCCGCGGCTGCTGCAGCTGATGAATGCACTGTTGCGGCCGAGCCGCCACCATTAATGCCGGCAGATCCATATTCCTCTGTTTCTCCTATTTTCACTCTTCTCCCAATCGGAATCCCATGGTGGGTCTGCATGAAACTCTGATGATGCGTGGAAGACAAGCTATCACAGTGAGGTAACCCTAACGTGAGAGACACGCCATTGTTGTTTCCTGAGTACCTTTGCGCTAAGAGCTCCTGGTCGGAGACAGATACATCAAATCTTGACATCTCATCCATTTGGTATTGTCCAAAACTTCCCATGAAAGGGTATCCACCGTCTGATCTTATCCCTTGCCGTTCTTCTAAAATCTTCATCGTGAGTTTCTCGTTCGAGCTGAAATCCGCATTTATAGGCTGCATCATTGTCTCGTCGCTTGTTCTTAGCCTCTTGGGACTTCCTTGCATTCCAGTGACGCCTTCTAGGTCACCGCTGTGATTGGCATTCAAATGGTAAGTGTCGGCGCCGCCTCCCATGGGGCTTTTCTCTTGGTTACTCGTTGATTTAGAAGCAGAATCTTCATTGTTTTGATCCAAATTAGGTGTCTTCTCCATTGATCCCATGTTCTTTCCCTGCTCCTTCATCTCCTCCATGTACATCTCTTCCACCATTGGTTTCCATAGCCTAACTCTCGCGTTTATAAACCAGTTCGAAACCTAATTAAATAAAGAAAAATAAATTGTTATATATATACGTTTATTAATTTTCCAAAATACACAATCATCAGCATTTGAAACGTACTTGGCTCCGAGTGAGTCCTGTTTGCTTGGCTAGCATGTGCTTGTCCGAATCCTTAGGGTATCTAATGAAAACAAACACAAATAAAACATGTTAAAAGATTAAGACCTAGTTTGTGTTCAAGTGGATGTGAAAAATGTGAATTAGTTACTTACGGGTGAAGAAAGTGTTCGAAGAGCCAAGCACGGAGAACCGAGACGGCTCGTTCGGGGAGACCACGTTGAGGTCTCCAAGCATTATTGGAAGGATGTTGAATCATTCCAAGTTGCTGAAGAGCTCTCTGTTGTCTCAAGTGATGGTCTACGAACTTGAGCCTTGATCCTTCAAACCTACCAACACCAGAGACCGAATCTTCCTCCCCAAGGCTCTTGTTGGCTGCTTTTATTTGACCAGCGATCGCTTCTTTCAAGCACCGGAACTGTCTTGATATGGTCTTCAATGCAAGCGACGTGTAAGACTTAGCTGACCCTATCCCTGCCGCTTGCTCAAACGCCGATATCACCATCTGCATCTGCTGGTGATACTGTCTGTATCTCTGCTCCACCTTTTCATTTTCACAATCATACAACGTAAGATGTTGATGACTTGATGTTGATGCTTATGAATTATGATTATAAGTTATCAACTAAGAGAGGGACAAAAAGATAATTATATACATCATCTATATATGGGACGAATAAATTAGTAGAGATAAAACTCTCTAAGATTGTTGATTTGAGAAATCAGAAGAAGAGCAAACCAAAAAGAAAAAGAAAAAGAGAAAAGATACTATGAATATTTTATAAAATATGAATTGAAAATGACTGAAAAAACTTGGGGATATAGCTTTTAAATCCACTTCATGTGTGATAAAAGAGAGCACTTAGTATAGGTATATAAATACGTATATGGGAAGTGTTGTTGTTGTTGTTACCTCATGAAGCATGTTGCTCAGCTTTGCTTTCTTCATCTGTATTTCCTGCCTCTCCGCCGTGCCTAGCTCCACCGTACGTTTCCCAGATGCTTCTCCACCGTCACCGGAACCTTCTCCAGCGCCGGCGGAGGATTCTCCAGCAGCTTTATTATCATTTCCACTGCTCGCTTTCTTGGATGAGAAGAGTTGGGATTTAGCGTTGATGTCGTTAGAATCAGCGTTGACTACTTCGTCTAGAAGCTCTTGCGCTGCTTTCAAGTACTTGGAGCTAACGAGGTTCGCTATCCCGTTTGTTACTCCCGATCCTGCCGAGCCTGGCCCGACGCGGATATCCTCTCCGGGTCCGGAACCGAAACCGACGTGATGGAGAGGCTGGTGTTGGTGCTGATGTTGTTGCTGCTGTTGTTGAGACGAGAGAGTCAAAGAGAGGCCTTGTTGCGCGCGTGGCGTCTCGCACGCGGCTTGCTGGTGAGTGGGATCCACTTGGTGGCTACTGTAGAGACTGTACTGCACGCGCGGAGGGTATCCGTGAAGTACGGAGATGTTGTCGGCGGCTGTAATGGAAGCTGCTTCGTGGCCGGAGAGTGGGATTCCGACGAACTGCTGGCTCCCGTTTTGCGGCGGCGCGTGTGAATCGAGGAACACGAAACTGTTGTTGTTGTTGTTTGTGTTGCTTGTGTTGGTGTTATTGTTGTTGTTGGAGTCGTCGTCTTGCTGAGTGTATTGAACGTAAGTCGTTGGATTCATGAGGATCAACGTTTGTAAACCACCGTCGGATCCGGCTGAGATCTCCGGAGGGTTTCCGTGGTAGTAAGCAGCCATCTAATTATGCTTAAAACGGCGACGTTTTTAATTCTTGATCTTGTTTTCACCGAGCTGATGAGTGATCATAGAAATAAACAAAAAGAGGAAAATCAGAAAACTATAACTTCATATAGATCTCTTCTATATATACATCTATGCAGAAAAGAAAGAAAAGGTTGTGATCACATCAAGAAGAAGATGAAGAAGAGACGAATTATGGATTATGAGAAAGAGAGATCGAAGGATATGGAAATTAAGACATAATCATGATTGAAAATAAAATAATAAAATAATATAGTTACGGGAAAATTGAAAGAGAACAAAAATATTATAGTAAAAGAAAAGAAAGATGAAGAACCTGGATTGATAGAGATCTGAGGATGCACGTGTTTCATGATCATCTCAAGCTGCAAAAGGAAAGTTACATAAGAGAAATTCTTTCAAAGAGAAAGAGGGAGAGAGAGACAGACTCTCACACACGAATATACACTTGTATATATATAAATATATATATATACCTATGTTTGTGGAGATGTGTGTGATTGCTATGTGAGTTTGGTCTCTGTGTCAGACTCAAAGATCTCTGCAACTCTTTTCTCGCTCAAAGGGGAAATATAAAATACATTTAAAAAGCTGAGAAATAAGTTATATATAAATATAGAACAAAAAAGATGAATATTTAGAGAGAGAGAGAAGATAAAAGATACCCATCTTTTCCTTCACTCATTAATCTTCCCACAGTCTCAGTACGCCACCATTTTCCCTCACTTTCTTTCTATTTTTTTCTTTTCTTTTGTGTTATGGTCGGTATATCATATGACCAAAACGTACAGATTTATTTTTTCTGGTAAATGGGATCTTATATGAAACATTTCATCAAAATAACTAATTTCTTAAGACATGAATTCGCTATGTAATTAAATTTTACATTGTAGTCTTCACGGTTTTAAAAAAGCTCTATCGTGTCTATGTTTTCATGACATTATAACACTCAAGACTGATTATTATTACCATGTATAATTACTATATACAATTATACATATAGCATAGTAAGAAAAAAGATACATATATGATATATGATATGGTACATATGTATCTTATAAGGATTTTAGGATTCGTGTACTTGCGAATGGGTCGAAATATTGAGGAACTTGTATGATACGACTTTGGCCTTTTTATGTATTGACCAGGTAATGAACCCACATATCCTAACAACCAAACACTATATTTTATTTAGTTATTTATACACTATATAATTTTATAGAGGAAATAAATGTTATCACATCAAGACATAGTGATATGTATGTCGTGTCCAATTTAGAATCATATCATTTTCTTATTTTAACATTATATCTATATTTATTTAATAAAAAGAAATCCCACACGCATCTCAATCCAAATCTTTCTTTATTGATATAACAACAGTCCTCAACATAAAGTATTCTGGAGATTACTATACTTGCAGACTTTTATCATCAATTAAGTTTAGACTGTACACTAAAAATGGCAAGAAATTTGATGATTATGATTTTATTAAGAATAAGACAAAAAAAATTGTTAATGTATATGTTACAAAGTTCATATCATAATTGCCTTCAGCAAATTAACTAATTCTGTTTACGAAAGTCTTTATCAAATACACATACATTTTGTTTTTGTTTATTGCCGTTGTAATTAAGAAGGCGTTAATATTTTGATATTCTAGAGCTTGAATAGATTTTTATTTTCAAAAATTCTACCTTTTGGTTTTGGTGCGTAGTACCTATATAACAAAAATAAACAAAGTTCAAAACACAGTTTATATGGTTTTTGAGAAGAGAAAAAATAATCAAAAGTATGACTGGAGAGAAAGATCAACGTCTCGACGAGCAACCTATATATCATGAAATAACTTATGAATGGAAAATCTTCATATTAACATTGTACAAGAGAAGTATTTATACAAGAGTAGAGATCCTTATCTAGATACAAATATATACCTAATAGAACTAGTATAAACTAAAGTCATATTTATCTAAATTAATGTAGTCATTATCTATCTAATGTAGTCTTTATCTCAATACCCTCTCTCAAGTTGGAAGTGAGAGATTGCGAACATCCAACTTGGACAAAAGTTCTTCAAGATGAAGTGTAGGCAATGAAGTATGGCTATGAAGTAGAACAAAAGTGATAATAAACACCATTGTTACTGAGAGGGTTTTCCTCGCATGATGATGATGGTGATGTTGACGTAGTAGTAGAAGTAATCTCCAGACATGATGTTGTTGAAGGAGGAGTAGTACATAGTTTGAGAACAATTCCTTTGATGAAGCCTTCAGATTTGCTTGCAAAGAATACCATTCTGAATAATTGTCGCCAGAGAGTTGATAAAAACACCATGGTTATCTGATGGTGCAAGTCAAACGGTGATGGCGACGAGGTAGAACTAGGATTAGTAGTAGCAACTTCCATCATATTTGATGTTGAGTTAGTAGTAGTAGAGAAAAGAAAAGAAAAAATATGAAGTAGAGATTAAATAATCTAGTAGTAGTAAGAATAAAAAAAGTGTAAAGTTTGTCAAAGTTTACGATTTCCCATCTTGTAGTAGTAGATAAATTAGTAAAAAAAATAGTATAGTAGAAAGAAGAAGAAAATAGTAGAGAAACTATAGAAGAAATTTAGTTTAAATAGTAGTAGAAAAAGAAATAAAAATTGTAGTAGAAATTTCTTAAGAATCGATTTCCATAGTAGAAGAAAGAATAGATATTATTCTTTAGGCAAAAAGAAAATATATCGTATAGTAAGCGGAAGCAAGAGAGAAAAACTAGGTCAAAGGATCTTTCTGATACCATGATATAACTTATGAATGGAAAATCTTCATATTAACATTGTATAAGAGAAGTATTTATACAAGAGTAGAGATCCTTATCTAGATACAAATATATATCTAATAGAACTAGTATAAACTAAAGTCATATTTATCTAAATTAATGTAGTCATTATCTATCTAATATAGTCTTTATCTCAATATATCACCAAGCGATTTTCTTTTCCGTTAATTTTCTGTTTTTTTGTACGTTGGACACTGTAAGAAACGATGATGTTTTGTTTTTTCTTGATGGTTTTTTTGGGTGAGGACTGAGGACTAAAATTAACCTGGCTTTTCCTTTTACTTACACTTTTTTATTATTTCTTCTATTCCATCTTTCTTCATTCTTGGACTATTTTAATTACTCTGAGAGTTACCACTCGTCGGACCCTAAGAATATAAGTATAAATCAGGAATATTTTAATATTTTAAATATACATAACGGGATTAGAGAAATCGGAAAATTATACGAAAAAGTGAAGTGTGTCAGAAGATCCAAACAGCACAAAAACGAGGAAACGTCTCCTTCTGCAGAAAACCTAAAATATTTAATTACACAAAAATCTAAATTATTGAGAAAGAGAGAAAGAAAGAAGATGATAACGATAATGATAATGAAGCATGATGGGAAAGATTGGGTCCCATTATATATACCCATTTTGATTATTCTTATATGTGTGTATCTGTATTTATTGTTTTTAGTATTTTTTTGGGTCGTATGAATGTTAATTTATTGTTTTAGTTTACCACGTATGCCTTTGTATTATTTAAATGGATAAAGATGTACATTACAAATCAATAAATGAATAACTATTGGACAATAATATCTATTAGTGGGAAAATCAAATAAAAAACCTTCAAAGTGTTGTCACTTACACTTTAAACCTTAAGATTTTTAATTAACAGTTTAAACCATCAAGTTGAAAAACTTAACACAAATAACCTTTTATCTGACATTTATGTTCGTACCTATAATTATTTTATCCATATTTTTAATTTTAATGCCGAAATATTATTCTTCGACAATAATATATTAGTTTTAAGATACAAACCAACCATAATTATCTTTATTTTCACATTTAACTATTGTTTATACTATATGATACATTTTGTTGTACGTACTAAGTTTTTAGTTTGATGATTCAAATTGCATAAAATCAAGTAGATTTGATTAGAGAACCAAAATACTTTTGTCAGAGAATACTATTTTGTTATCTAAGTTGAAAATATTGTCAAAAAAAATTATTGGTACAAACATAAGTGTTACATTGAAGGTTATGTGTTAAAATTTTCAGTTTGAAGGTTTAAACTTATAGTTAAAAGCTCTTGAGGTTTAAAGTGTAAGTGACTGACATTTTGAAGGTTTTTTATGCAATTTTCTCATTTATTAGCTGATAGAGTTATTAATTTTAAAATATAGCCTAAATTGCACTAAACTATTTTTGGTACAAACACATTATAAAATACAATTCAACTCATTCATGATAAAAAAAGGTTCAGAAGACAAATAACTAAAAAAAATGAAAAACTTGTTAAGTTTTTATTACAAATTAAGCACATAATATAATGTGAAAAACTGTGTATTTAAAACATCACTTACTATACAAAATAAATGGAGCTTATACTAATTATTAATTTATCATATTGACGGGACCATATATTTACATAGGACCATATAATTTGTGTTTTGTCTTCATGAGAAAATTAACTTGCCATTTTATTAAAATTTAATATGAACCTTTAGATAAAAGTTTATTACCGCATAATTAACACCCAGTAATGCATGAACTTGATCAATGACTTCATGAAGACGACGTCCTAAAAATCATAAATTGGCTAATTTTTACATTTTCAAAATGATATCTCTTTCAATTATGTTGTTTCCTAAATTAAGTTTTTCGCTCATTGTAAAATTATAATGTAATACTAATAATAAATACAGCCTCTATTTCGTAATAAAAGTTGTGGGAAATTTTGTTTTGTTTCAATTTATATGACGTTTTCAACTTTGAATCCAAAATTAATTGTATTTTTACTATTTTAACTGATTATGCAGATTGTTTCCGGCTGTGGTTGTTTTAAAATTATAACAAAACTTGTTTTCATTTTGAAAATTGAACCATTTCTTACACCTAAAACTACTTCATATGTTGTGGAACAGAGTGAGTAC